AGGGGACGCCGCCGGAGCCAGCCAGCCAGGAAAAGAACCCGCGGAAGGGGAGCAGGGAGCACGGCGCACGCGCGAGAGGCCGGGGACGACGACGCCAACGAGCAAGCCGGCAAGAGCGCCACCCCAGCGGAAGGCAAGGCGGCGACGCTCTGGCTCTACCGCCCGCTGCGCTAAGACGACGGAGGAGTGGGGGAAAGAGGAAGACGACGACGCCTCTCGAGGCCCCTGGCTTCCGCTGACGCTCTAGGGAGGACTTCGGGGTTCTCGGTCGCCCTCGGGGGGCGGGACAAAGGAAGAAGCTGGGAGTTGTAGTCTCACAAACACACACACACACAAACACACACACATTCCCACCGAGGGATGACCTCTAGTGAAGCTGGGTCTGATTATATAATAGGCAATATAATATTATTGTATAATATGTATTATATATTAATGCATAATATACATTATTATATTATAGTACGCTATATTATATTATGTTTTTTAAATATATTGGAATATACCAATAATATTTAAAATAAAAGTATCTGCAGGAAGTGGGGGGGGGGAAATAAAAAACAGTTCACAAGGCCTCCTGCAGAGATCCAGGACCGCTTCAGGGTTCAGAGGACCAGGAAGTTCAAGGCTGAGTCTCTGAAACGTGTCGACAGGATAACTTCGGGCCAGCTATGGCTTCAGCCTGGCCTCCCTCGCATGGAGTGGCTTGCAAAGGCAAAAGGGGAAAGTGGACTATGTAGTGACGACAGGAGCAGAGACGGGCAAGGCCTTTTTGCATACGCTGCGGGGCGAATGGAAGCATTGGGTGAGGATGCTTCAACAGCAGCTGCTTGAGAGCGACAACAGCGAGGGGACTACAAGTCCCATCAGCCCCCTCACAGGGGGCACAGAACCAGCTGGGACTGATAGGAGTTGTAGCCCAATGAGAATTTCCTTGCCCTTGCAACTCAACCAAGCGTCTAGGTCCCTGGCCATCCCATGTTGTAGAGGTGGAGGGGGGCCCTGAAGGTCATCCAGTCCAACCCCTCCATTCAACGGGAGTGTGTTCAAATTAAACCACTTCTCTGGCAAGTCCCTCGCCTCGCCTTAAACACCTCCATTGCTAGAGGTGGGGTCTGTTCCAGCGCCTAACGGGTCTTCCCATCAAGGCCTTTCCACAGATTTCTTCTCATTTGGAGCAAGAGAGAATCAATCCACGCTGCTTTTGGCATCTCTGGATACTTGGAAGGCGGGCAGCCTCTGAGGTTTTCCGGTCCAACCTGACTCCCACACACACACCTGCCAAGGAAGACTCAAGTTCAAACCTAACAGCATTTTCAACTTCTGAACGCACTGCACATGATGGGACATGTGGTCCCCCCACACCTAGGAGACCATGATAGAAGACTCTGCTGCCGGGGGGTGGGTGTGTTTCCAGCTTGTGTAGCAGGACTGTTCTTCTGAATTGTCCCCGCTTGCTTTCAGGGTACGTGTGTGAAAATTTCTCAACCCCATGGGGCAAGAGAGCGGGACGGGCGCGAATGAACGACACCACAAAGACAGACCGTGCCATCACGAACAGTCCAAAACCTGATTTATTTATTTATTTATAACCAGAGCTCCTTAAATTCAATGAACAACCAGTTGTCTTGGGGATCCAGGCTTTACCGTCAACCCGAAAACCCCCTCGTGATCGGACAAATCACGGACAACACCCCTTCCCCTCTACCCCCCCACCCCACCCCAACAGCTAAAACCTATGTGTGTATGTGTGATTTTCCTCACCTTGCAGACCTTAGGTACAAATCTAGTGGGATGTATTCACATTTACCAATCCACAGCACGATGAGGCCTACGTTAAACACGGAATGAAACCTGACACGCCCCCGGCAATGGTCGAAATTGAATAACCCGGCAGTCGATCTCCCTCCCCGCCACCGGGCCCCCCCCACTTGGCCCACTTTTTGAGGTCCGTTAAAATCGCCTTCTGCTCGGAGGGCGTGGGATCGGGGCCCGGCGCGTGGTGCTCTGTAAACTCTTGAGCAGCCTTTGTTGGAAGAAGGTCCCGTTGTACTCGAGTCCGGTCAGGTGCCTCAACGCAACGGGGACCTCGTTCGGTGGAATGTCCACGTAAATGGGAATGACCTTGGTCTCCTCCCGGTGTATTGTCTGCAGGATGTTCCACTCTGCCACGCGCTGGCACCACGGGTCGGACATGGAGCGGGCGCTCAGGAGGAGGATGGCCACGCGGCTGGCTTCAATGATCTCGCCGGCTGTGGCCACCACCGGGGCCCCCGCCACGTGGTCCTGGTGCTCCACGTAGCCACGGAAGCCGTGCTCTCTTAAAGTGGTGCAGATGGAGGTGGCGATGGCGTCGTCCTCCAGGCAGTACCAGAGGGAGAAATCGTAACGGAATGATGGAGCAGTCATGTCAAACGGCAGCCACGGTTCCTAACCCTGTACCGGCACCTTATCCCCTCCCATGACCCACTTTCCACGGAAAAGCCCCTTGTCCCACCGCGATGGGTGACCAGACTCAGAGGACGTTCTCCTCCCCCCCAAACACAGCTTTCTGTGTTAAGTCTGTCCAGAAGAGGACCATGGGCCGGTGCTGAATCCCATGGATCCAAAGACACGGACGAGCGGAACCACATTATTGGCCGTTTGGCGGGAAGCAGGGCCGGGCCTCCATGAGGCTTGGAGCAGGCAGCTGGCTTCGGCACACATTCACGGAACCGAAATCACGGACAGCATCAAAGAGGTGTAGCTTATGCATGCTGAAATCACATCACAGCCGAGAGTCTTTCTGCTCTGAGCATGGCACTGATCCGGCGCGGGGTGGGGTGAGGGAGCAGGGTCAGGCACGCTCGTTGACAACATTAAGTCTCATTTCCTCCAACTCTTTTGATCGGCGGTGGCCGCCGCTTCCCCCCCACGCGCGCGCACCCACGTCAAGAACAGAGAACCTCACAAGGCCCTCTGCTTCATTTCCAAGATGCCTTGCTCCAGAGTCGCGCCAGCCAGCTTCAGCTCCTCACATTTCTCCTTGAGGAGGCTGCAGGCCTTCTGCAGGCGATGGTTCATCTCCACGTACGACTGCGTCAGCCGATAAAGGCGCTCCCTCTTGGCTTCCGGGTCTTCGTTCTTGGCTGCGGTAGGCAAGTCTGGACCAGGAAGGATTTTATAGGGTCAGGGAGGGAAGAAAGAAAATATAGATGCCACCGTGGGTCAAAACCTGCTAGTGGTGACATCGGAAGGAAACATTTCCCAGGGCTTAACCATCTTACAGAACATTCCCCACCATTATTATTATTTTTAAAGCTACAGCTGCATAAAATCCGGGAGTGAAAACCCAAGACCTGTCATGCGGCTTCGATTTGAAATGGAAGCGAAGCTAGTAAAGGGAGGAGATGGTCTATTCCACAGGGTATCCTCTTGCGCTCACTGCCACTCACCCAAGGGGCTCCCAAGCCAGAGAAAATCTCAGGATCTGTTAAAATCTGGTAACCACTTCTCACCCCAAACCGAAAACAAGTGTTGGGGCTGTTTTGTTTTTTTAACAAGGGTGGGTGGTAGTGAACACAAGAAGGGATTGTAGAACCAATGGAGATGCGTGCATTGCCTCGCCCTCAGGAGAAGTGGGCTCAATCCATGGACTCAGCTGTGGTTTGTATTCCCCCACTTTCAAACTTATTATGAAATATTATCTTTGGGTTTCTTTAGTTCCTGAATTTTGTATGCAATGCCCTATTAGACAAAACCACAGAAAAGACTTTCGTCATGATGACATCTTATAATAATACAGTAGGACTCCCCCAATCCACGGGGGAATGGTTCTAAGTTCCCCGAGGATGAAAAACATGGATCATAGCAAACACTGTGCATAGGATGGTCTCTGTCTCCCTCTAGCGACCAGTTCTGGTCACTTCATATTTAGAAATATATAAAGTATTTTGGTATTTTTCTTTTTTCTTTTAATATCTTTAAAATTTTCAGGCCGCAGATAAGTGAATCAGTGGATACCGATCCTTCAGATCGGGGGGGGGTGGTTGTGGTTTCCTGCTGTAACTTGCAAAACTCATTTTAAAAAGCAAACAACCCCTCTGGGAGAGCGCAAAGCCCTCTCTCCAAGTTTGCTCCCCTCCCCCTCAAAAAAAAACCCCATTCACAGTGCAAGGATATAAAAGGGGTCTGGGGCAGGGGAGACCCGGCTACCTTCGTTGGGTTCTGCCAGCAAGACAAAGACGGGGTCATTGGGCTGGGCACGCTGAACATCCTCGAGGATCTGATCAGTGTTGGGGGGCTCGGGGCGCGTGGGGAGGGCCACCCGCTTTTTTGCCTTGGAGGTCATTGCTTGGAAACAGATGCCGGCGGGCACTGTTGGGAGAGAAAGAGGGAAGAACGATGAAGGCTTAGAGACAACCATGCACAATAACAGAACTCTAGAATAACAGAGTTGGAAGGGGCCCTCAAAGGCCATCCAATCCAACCCAGAATCCCGAAACCCAAATCCAAGCCAATCCCGACAGAGGATAGTTCAGTTTTCTCCAGCGTGGGAGTGCTCCCCACCTCCCGAGGCCATGGTTCCCATCGCCGTACGGCTCTAACAGTTAGCAAGTCTTTTCCTGATCTTCAGCCGAAATCCGGCTCCCTGTCGCTCGAGCCCACGACGACACATCTTGTGCTATAGGATTCCGAGACCTTTCTCGCTTGTTTTATTACTGAACCAAGTTTTCCCTATTTTGTAACTGTNNNCCCCCCCCCCCCCGTTAGGTCTAGAGATCTTCTGTCAGGGAAGACATCTATGGGAACAGCTGTTACGCCAGATTAGGATTCACAAAGTTTAGATTCAAATCCCTGCTCAGTGACATAAACGGCGGGAAAAGTCAGAAAAGCCCTCCTTCCACACCTTTACAAACTTCAAAAATCCTACTAGGATCCGTGGTACTGCTGTAAACTTAGAAATGTAGTGGCCAATTCATTACAAGATTCCTCTAAGCCAGTTTCTCGTAGTATAAGGACAGTCAAAATACCAGAAGGCTGGATGGCTCCATCTCTACTGAGAAATTAGGATCCGGTCTTTTGCAGCACTAATAGCTCTTAATTGCCTATTCAAGACCAAACCATTTTGAAATATTTTGCATCACACCAGACGCAGCTTGTGTCTGGGAAAAACCCTTTTTTACTCAAACGGCAGAAATATTTCTCTGGGGGTTTCCCCTCCACGTTCATTCAAGTTGATTTTTCGACTAGAGAAAAATTGCAAACAATTTTCTTGTGGGGGAAAAACAGGGATTTTTTTTTAACCTGTGTTTACTTCCTCACATCCCCTCCCCTGACCTTTCACATCTCTAGATGATGCATGTTGGGTTGTGTAGTTGAGCAACACCTAAACAGCTACATGTTTCTCAGATCTCCTGAGTCCTTAATCCCTCATTCTAACCACTACATACACCCAAAAAAACCAAAACTCATTCACAGGATCAGGTAACTCTGAGACAATTTGCCAGCACATAACAATAGCAACAAATACTTAGTTGGGGAGGGGGAAGGATTTTAATCAAATGCAGCCCTTTTGCAGATTTTAATCCTATGATATCACAGACCCAAAACACAACAGCCATGCACAAAAGTCCCCACTTCAGCCTTTGGCCTTTCTAATTCTCTACAGTCTGGAGAGTTGAGGCTACTCAAGAGTGGAATCTGGTGGACTAGATGGATCAATAGAAGGCAGCTTTGCATGTTGGATTCCTCAATTTGTTAAAACCTGAGTCGATTGCTCTTTAAATTAGGCAAAAGCTCATGCATGCAAAGGGGAGATTTTTTTTCTCCAAGTTCCATCTGCCGTTGAAAACAGCATCAAACCAAAACCATCATCATCTTCCCATTCTGGTCTCGGAGGCAGCCTCACACACTCCTTTCTACCTCCCCATAAGGTGAGGGGGGGGACAACATATACAAGAACACCTCCAAACATCCCACATTGACAGAACGGCAGGACAGAAGGAGCAGGGACTGGATTAACTGATATAAACTGAATTAAATCTGCTGGCTCCGCTCCTCCATCCCCCTTCTAATATGACATCCCCATTGCAATGAAACAGCAGCCTCAACCCTGCTTCTCTTTTTTTTCTGCATTCGGAAATAAGACCCTTTTTTTCCCCGGCTGGGGAGGGGAGAAGAAGGCAGACAAGTAATCCTGAGAAATTGCATTTTTTTCCCTCTCTCCCTTTTCTGCTTTCTTTCCTTTTTTAAAAAAAAGGTGCGCCCCCCCTCCCTTTGGTTGCTGGCGGAGGACAGCCCATCCAGCCGAAGAGGCTTCCAGAACCTTCACCGCGCGCTCTGCAGTCCTCGGAAGGCGATGTGAGATGCATGCAGAAGAAAAAAAAAGGAGGGGATAAAAACAGAGAGGACCGGCCATCTGTCTCCCCATGCATAGGTTCTTGCAGATACCACACCCACCCCGGGGACACCCCCAACACCCCATTCCTGATGCTCTGAAAGAAGACCTCTCCTCCAATGGGGTCCCCCTTCTTAATGTCTAACAACCCCCCCAGGGGGACCCCACTCCCGATCTTTCCCCCTCCCTGGACTCTGATCTCACCCCCTCTTAAGCTCGGCTCCCTAATGCTGACCCAACGGAGATGTCATGTTCCACCTCCTCTCAAATCCCCTTCTCCCCGAGCAAAGACGGAAAAGGCACTTCCCCCTTCAGAGCCTCAGTGGCGGGGTTCACCCCCAAAGTGCCTCCGCCCCTGTCCCCTCCCCACAAACTTCCCGGGGCTCATTTCCCCTTTTTGGGCTCATCCTCTTCCTCTTCTCGATTCCCCCACACCTGAATCTTATCTTTCTGATGCCATCCAGCCATGACAGCTGGCCACCTCCATCCCATATGGGTTCCCTCTTCACCCCCATCCCCCCCCTCTCTCTCTCAAACACACACACACACACCTCTCCCGGGCCTGATCCTTTCCACCACCACCACTCTTTTCCTTCTTCCTACATCTCCTTCTTCGCTCCTTCCCTCTTCTCTAAAGGGTGGGGGGGAAGGTGTCTCTTCATTGCTCCCTTCCTCCCTAAAACTGGGACTAGAGATGTAAAATTTCTGGAAAAAAATTCTTTTTTTGCCCGGGGGGGAGATGTTTCCTCTCCCCCCCAGGAAAACATGAACATTTTTGGAAATTTTACATCTCTAACTGGGACCACCTCCTAACAAGCTCACCCCATCATTTAAGCCCCCTCCCCAAATTGCGATAATACCGGGTGTAACAATGATCCTTCCACCCTTCCCCCCCTTTCATCTGCATGACTCATCCCCCCCTTTCCCACCTTCCTCAGCCTCTTCT